TCTGGCATGCCTAAATTTGAAGCAACGCAACACAGCGATTTGAGAGGCCTGGTCAACTGTTCCACCTTTGCTAAACTAAATAGGACTGTATATCATATATTGCCCAGCTTCATAGGGGTGTGCCCGTTATTCCGGGTGACTGACTGACTGACTGAGTTTAGTTTTACGCCGCTTTTAGCAATATTCCAGCAACATCACGGCGGGACACACCAGAAATGGGCTTCACACATTGTACCCATGTGGGGATTCGAACCCGGGTCTTCGGCGTGACGAGCCAACGCTTTAACCACTAGGCTACCCCACCGCCCCTTATTCCGGGTGAACTGTGGTGAGAAACGTTGTTTGTTCTGAACACTGCCCACATATAATATGCAGTAGACGTTATTCGTGGAGGAGAATGAATGTAACTTCCAGCTCAGATATGTTGTTATTTTGATCTGACGCATCTTCAGCTTTATTTACAATCGACAGAAATACACACTGCGCTGTCCTCTGAACACAGCGTTATATTGCCAAAACGTCAGATACCATGTATGCACCTGGTCATAAGTTAAGCATTGCGTTAGGGTGGGCCATTTGGACACACAGCCATCCTCGCTCCCCAGTCCGTCATGGAGAATGCAATTTCAAAAGAAAAAGAAAACAATATTTTATATCATAGCTAGGGCTGTAACGATGCATCGAACTATCGATGATCGAACTATCGATGATCGAACTATCGATGATCGAACTATCGATGATCGAACTATCGATGCATTGCAATTGTTGAGTCTCCAATTAATCGATGGTAGAAACGAAAAACTATCGATAGTATGTGTGACTATCGATAGTTTAGTAATTGACTTCCGATGATAAATGTCCAGCGCAAATTACAGGAAGTAGCAGATTCGTTCACTTTGATTTAGAGTGCAGACTTGCAGCTTCATTGAGTTTATGTTTTAACTGTTTACCTGATCTGGGTTTCAAGTTTCTTGTCAGCTATTAAATTGACTGAAACTACACTTTAACCTGTTTGTATTTCAAATAAACTATACGTACATTTGGGAAATGACTTCAAATGAGACAATTCAAGAAGAAAAAACTATTGCAATAGTATTGCAATAATTGGTCGCAATAGTATGTTGCCATAGACTATCGCTATCGCAATATTTGTGTCCCCCTCAATAGTCACCCCTAATCATAGCACAGTTTGATTTGATATTGTTCCATGCACTGTTGAAGCTACATACGCAATGCATCCATATGCATCTGATTTGGCTTTTTTCATTCACTACAATGCATCCTAGTGACATACAATGCATCCTGGGCGGTGGGGTAGCCTAGTGGTTAAAGCGTTGGCTCGTCACGCCGAAGACCCGGGTTCGATTCCCCACATGGGCACAATGTGTTAAGCCCATTTCTGATGTCCCCCGCCGTGATATTGCTGGAATATTGCTAAAAGCGGCGTAAAACTAAACTCAGTCAGTCAGTCAGTCAGTCCAATGCTTCCTAGTCTGCAGGGGGATGGCGTGTGTAAAGAGGGTCAATATTCCGACCCCTGATCCAACTCTGGGAGTTACTCTACTGACAATTCCTATGTGCGAAATTTCTCACTTACTTTGACCTTTCTAAATGTGCAGTGAAGCCTTCACAACAACACCGTGCAAACCGCCATCCGCAACGGCCTGAAGCCACAAGCGTCGCGAGGGTCGCACATACTGTACAGTGACATGTAAATATGTGCAGGGGCACGGTCAATACATGCCAGTTTGTAGGGAGTTGAGAGGGGCGATGGTACAACGGCTCTTGCCGTGTTCTAGTAGATGTGCTTCGAGTGTAATGGACACATTGTCAGGGGCGAAGGAGTATGGAGAAGGGGTGTGGTGTGGTGTGGTGTGGTGTGGTGTGGTGTGGTGTGTGTGGTGTGTGGTGTGGTGTGTGTGTGGTGTGGTGTGGTGTTGTGTGGTGCCTACAACAATAATATTTACCAATACAGTCTTACGATCTTTCCTAAGTTTGAAAGCATGTTTAAATTTACGTTTGTATTATTTCCATTATTATTCCTATTGCCTTCAGACCCAACTATTGATGTTGACAATAAATTTCATATACTTCCAACTGTCATTGATAACCGCATGCATAAAACATCATAACGAGACAAGACCACGAGTGAGTGAGTGAGTGAGTGACTGAATGAGGGAGAGTGCGGAAGTAAATTGCAACACAACTGTGAACATTTTATGGATGAATCACGGAAAGTGAGTGTCTGTCGCAACCAATACAATCAGTTCTAGATACAACGACATTGGTTGCAGGTCAGTATCGGCTATAGTCTGACGTACAGACCCTGAAGCAAATATATCCCAGAAAGCCCACACAAGTCTAGAAATGTGGCAAGTCTAGATTTCCTCAGCTGAAAATGAAGAAAGTCTCAGGGCTCCTTTTCATTATATTTTTTTATTTTTTACTATGAACTTTTTTCAGAAAAATATGTTCATTTCAGAGACTAGTTGTTAGTCTATATCGGCTAATACGTACCATACATGGGCGGATCCAGGAATTTTGAAAGGGGCGGGGGGTCAGGGGGATCGAACCCCCTGATCCCCCCCCCCATTGGCTCCGCCAACGCAAAACAAATCTTCAATGTGGTCTTAAGTCATTTTCAGGGGGCGAAACCCCCTGAACACCCCACCCCACCCCCGGATCCGCCAATGCCATACCCTAATGGTGGTAACATTTTATTGCAGTGTGTTAGCTGACGGTACCATACAGATTTAAATTATGGATATCGATAGATTCAGTATGTTACTACGTGCATTAATGACAAAGTGACAACATGTATATATGTTACAGGGAATGTGTGAAACCAGGGATCACTGACCCTGAAAGAGTCAGTGATTTCATGAAATCCCTGTGACCCCCAGGGATTTCATGTATTCCCTAAAATTTCCAGGGATTTCATGAAATTACTGAAATATTAGCTCAGGGATTTCATGAAATCCCTGTAAGCCTTTATTGAAATAGAGAGCACCAAATGAATAATGCGAGAACAGAGTATTTCCTGATAAAATCCATTTGTTTGGACAAGGTAGACTGTTATCATACAAGCTATTACACTTCAGTAGCACTTTAAAACATTTACAACGTATCGATTTACATTGGTTAGGACCACAGTTACATTTCTGGAAACCCTGACCACCACAATTCCACACAGCTGTGTGGAGAAACAGTTCTTTGTCCATTGTCACATCATTCGTAGAAAGAAGACGCTGAGGACAAACATGAAATATGTGCTTTGAAAAATACCTTTTCCTTCCCAAACCCATATCCCAAAGCGGGATGATGTATGTTCCAAGTTATTTCTATGAATAGCCTGGTCTGTTTAAACTTAAACGTCTATATTCAATACAGAAAAGAAAATGTTTGAAAAACCTCGCTAAATTTTTTAATGCTATATCACAGTAAAATGTTGAGTCATTCCGTACGGAATTATGAGAGATACTTGTGCCACAATATACAGAGTATAATATATGAATATTAAAGATGCAATAATAAGGTTACAAGTTACATTAAGAAGATACACGTATATACAAATTTGCAGTACGCTTTTTCAGAATATTAAGGCAGGTTTTGACAGATAAAAACGATACACCTGGACAAGCTAGAAAAAAACTAACTTTTTCAACATACCCAGATTTTTTTTAAAAACATCTAAAAGACTTGTACATTTAGATAAAAGTTGCAATCGCTCATCAGCATACTAAGGACAATGCAATAAAACATGACACTCATCTTCAATAAAATCTTTAGAGTTTCGATTCTAAGCGGCGCTACCGCACATCTAAACACAGCTAGTGCTTTTCTCATAGAGCGAGACATTACAATTAACATAAAAATCACTGCAAAAATCCAACATTAAAGTACAGTACGTGTGTAACTTATTACCTCCCCAGGTAAACAAACTTGTAAAAGGTCCTGTTTCCAGGTAAACAACCTCTGTCACTTTTGTAAATATTGTCCTGTTTCCATTTATAAAGGAAATCGGTGCCGCGATAAACAACCTCTAATGTCACTTTTGAAACTACAAACAGGAATATTGATAATCATACAGATGTCATTTGATATCGTTATATCAACACCCAACGACACATTATTAAAGTCATCCTAACAATATGAGATGCAAACAGTAAAGCCGTGAGTGTGATGCCAAAACTGTCCTCAGATAAGACTTTGGGATTGAGACTCAACAGAAAGTCTACAAACATTAAAATTTGATAGGGAATGAATACATGAAAATCAGTAATTTCATGAAATCCCTTGAGGGAATCATGAAATCCTTGGGGGTCACAGGGATTTCATGAAATCACTGACTCTTTTAGGGATTACGTGAAATCCCTGGTTTCACACATTCCCTGTAACATATACAAGTCAAGATAAGATGCATGTCATCTCATTGATAAGAAGGCTGTATCTGAGCCAGGATACCAGCAATGATAAGTAATATATAATATAGTTTGTATTGTAATTTAGAAAAAAATACTCTATGCACAGTTTGTTTTCAATCAATACGCAGGCACAGTTTGGTCTCAATGCAGGCACAATACGCAGGACACAGTTTATTTTTATATACAGGGCGCAGTTGGTATAAATTCGCACGGCACAGTTTAGTTTTTATACACAGGGCACAGTTTGAAAATTCAAGCAGTTTGTTCTCAATACGCAGCACAGTTTGGATACCCAATACGCAGGACAGTTATTCTCAATGCGCAGCACAGTTTGGTCTCAATACGCAGCACAGTTTGGTCTCAATACGCAGCACAGTTTGGTCTCAATACGCAGCACAGTTTGGTCTCAATACCCAGGACACAGTATATTCTCAATACGCAGCACAGTTTGGTCTCAATACGCAGCACAGTTTGGTCTCAATACGCAGCACAGTTTGGTTACTTTTCGCAGGGCACAGTTTGTTCGTTCTCAATACACAGACACAGTTTCATTCCTTGCCATGTCCTTCTTTCCAGTTTCTGTTCTGGTCGAGATGACTTCCGGGTTGTGCAGTGACCTTGGTAAAAAGTGCAGGAGCGGGAAGTTCCGGCGTGACCCGGGCGACTGTAACCTGTTCTGCCAGTGTGCCCATGAACGCTGGTATCAGAAGAGATGTCCGCGCGGGCTGTACTTTGACGAGGTGCACAACGTGTGCAACTGGCCGGACCAGACCCCTATGTGTGCCCCGCCACAAGGATGTAAGTGCAGCTCGATTCACGTACTTGTTTCATTTGGATCTTGTTATGCTTTCGTTGTTCTTGGATTATAGGTAAACACTGCCGTGTTATGTTTTCTAGGGTGGTGAATACTTCATAATCAGGGTAGGAAACGAGGTGGTTTGATACGCATAACTAACTTTCGTACACAATATTATACCACAGCATTTAAATATTACACGTTTCTTATTGGATATATCATACGCATTATCGTAGATGAAAACTTCTGAAATAGCTTCTTATAAGCTTCATCGAACGTACTGTTGGCATAAGCATGTAAAATACACTGTTGAGAAAGACACTCGACGTAACACAATTCAGATAGAACGTACGTTTGGAGATTATACGAGAGCATCAAGCTAGTACTGATGTTGCACTCGGAAATTGTCTAAACAACTGAACATTAAATACCGGAAACCATGCACTGATGTATAGAGACTTGTCAATCTACTTCCTGGTTCAGATTATCTTCAGTCATGCGGTCTGGACACTGGATTGTCTGGTCCAGACTCGATTATTTACAGACCGCCGCCATATAGTTGGTATATTGCTGAGTGCGGCGTTAAACAACAAACAAACAAAATTCAATTTGACAAGAATATTTCTCTTAATGATAATGACTCTATTTGAACTCTATTTTGAAAAGTGAACGTTTGTGTGTGTACAGTGTGTGACCCGAATCCGTGCCAAAATGGCGGCACGTGCGTAAGTAACCGGTTGGGCTACAGCTGCACGTGCAGAGACAACTACGGAGGAAATGACTGCGCTCTCAGTAAGTCTTCATCAAGTGTATTTCCTTCTCGTTTCTTTCAACAATCGATCAATGCATGTTCGTCAACCATTTGCATGAGACAATGCATGTAATAGACGCAAGCACTGCCAGAATGAGCATGGCAATATGTCCATTACGACGTTTTAACGGACATGTGCATGAATCGTACAACATCTTTTCGTTATTTATTTAGTCACATACATAAAGTGATTTTTCTTGTGTATCTATGAGAAATGGCAGTTTTAACCTCATCAACAAACCTCTATCAAATACACTTGCTAATATGTGCCATTTCTCTAAATGTTTCCTTTAAAAATTGTTAACTGAATTGAGAATTGGTAGCATTAACTGTTTGCGAAGAATACACCAATGTTTGATGTTGACTCAATATGGAACAAATAGGAAATGTGTATTCGATGTATGTAACGCAGTTATCAAGGGTGCGTTTTCTACAGTACGCTTTCAGTTTTTTGGCGATTATTTTTATAACGGTTGTAATATTTCACTCAAATCCACTGTATACTTTCTTTTGTCCGTCAGTCTACCTTTTTGTAACTGCACGTTAGAACATTCACAACACTGTCAGTAATGGAAACTTTATATTTACATTTTCAGGAATGTATATTTATATCATTTTGACATATATGTATTACTTTTCTTCTTTATTCACTCTTTTGCATCTGCTTATCACCAACCATCACTACTTCAAGTTCATATCCCCTTGACCAATTCTTTCATCAATATTGTTTCTTTGTAATGCAATACTCTGAAACCCTGTCAGGACACCCCGTGAATGCGGAAACTCCAACAGTTAGTGTTGGACGACATAACCTTGAAACATTTATCCACAAATCAAGAATCCGGAAAATTCACCAGAAATTGTCCCGTCCGGATTGACAGGGTTTCTCTCTATATAGCATGTTTCATACTTTGTTTCAGTTAAACAAGCATGACTTTCTGCATGGTTCTTGAAAAGTTGATTGTAAAGTATTTTACATCCGCATCTCGAATATGAATTTTTATTACAATATTTTTCTCTTTATTTTGTCCGACTGTTTTCATATTGGTTTTCATGTATCTTCTCCTTTCCGTTGTGTTTCATTATAATTACTAGTATATTTATCTTTTGAGTAATGACATGACATGTCGTGTTGCCCATGACCTGCCCCCCGTGTGTACACAGAACTAGACGCCTGTCAGGACAGTCCATGTCAAAACGGCGGGAGATGCCGAGTGACCCCTACCAACAATGTCTTCTGTGATTGCCCTAGCAGCTTCACGGGGGTCTTCTGCCAAGGTCACGTGAGATGACCCTAGGTCAAGGGCACAATTAGAGCTTCCGGTCATGGTTTTAATATGATTCCATGCATAGCGTAACCCTTACAATCACCCCCTCCGTAGTTGTAGATAGAATCTATGTTAGAAGGTATAGTACACTTAATTTCCCTGTTCTGCTAACAACTCCCGCTTCTCCCACTGCTACGTATCCGAATTTTCGTCATCAGAGACCATATAATATAATAATCTATTATATGGTCTCTGCTGTCATGCGCACGCCATTACACTAAACTGGTTCCGGAATCGTTTCGCGTTTGCGATATGTGCGCAAGAAATGCAAAAGATATTGAGAAGGGATCTAGTTGAGGTGCGCACTGATACTAATCTAGTTTAGTTTGTCATCCTAACCTGGAAATTGCTCTCCACACACCGGCGCGTCAGTAATCGTTCTGTGTGTGTCAATGAAAACACGCCATAATTCATCGAGTGACCAAATCCATGGTCGATTCGTGTCACGTAAAACGCCAAGTTGTAAAATGTAAAAGATTATTAGTCCACATGGCAACTGGCAACGGTTTTTAAAAGACTAACATCCAAGCAACGTCAGCTCTTTGTGTTTGTTAAGAGTGCACCAGCGCAGTCTCTATTTCATAACAGGCAAATAATATTTCAAATTACGGTCTGTAAAATAATGAAACATTTTAACAAAAAACATATAAATACAAGTGTCAGTTTCTTGAGCCGTTTGTGCATTCAGAACACACCGCAGGAGAAGGAAAATATTTGAATCTTTATTTTCTTAAATATACTGGGGGGCAAAAATAAGTGATCACATGAAAGCACAAGTGTTCCCTTTTTTTCCAGGTTTCTTCAAGCTATGCAATACAAAGCTTGTGAAGAAGCCTTGGAAAAATAAAGGAACACTTGTCCTTTCATGTGATCTCTTATTTCTTTCCCTCAGTATATTTAATAATAGTTCAAAATCATATATTTTTCTTTTCTTTATTTTTCCTTATCCTTATTCCTTATCCTTGTCTGGTTAGAGACATCTTAACGTGTCTCCTTTCCAGACATAATATCCTTAATTAATATGTATGTTTTATCAATATCATTTAAATATAGATATATAGCCTGGTTTCTTGGGTATACTGCCCTTGCGTTAGACTGAGCACCAAGCATGTAACCATCCAATGACGTGTCAAGGTTTCTTGCAGGGAATATAGAAACAGTTCAACAGTTTGTGATAAGGTATTCTTGAATGATCCAGACTTAATAGACCACAGCACACACTGTGGAGTGAGTGAGCGAGTACGCCGCTTTTAGCAATACTCCAGCAATATCACGGCGGGGGACACCAAAAATGGGCTTCATACATTGTACTTATATGGGGAATCGAACCCGGGCCTTCGTGGTGATGAGTGAACGTTTTAACCACTAGACTACCCCCACCGCCCCTGATACTGTGGAAGGTGGAATCTGGATAAGATAGGACAAAGAAGATACGACTAGAAGATAGAGTGGTTCTAAGGCAGATGTTTTCCTGAGATCGTGTACACGGTGTGACATAGGGTCATTCGAAATCCCGGGAAATAATAACACAGGAGTATCTGCGAATACAGTGTCATCATATAACCAATACATCGTAATGTGTATGCTGCTCAACATTTGCTTGGAAAATCAGCTCAAAGCCGTGCTTCTTCTCGAAGAACTGAATGTCCTCACACATTCAGCAAAAGGATCAATCGGTGTTCCAATGCCTGTACAGTAAACAAGAGATAGTGTACAAAGCGGAACGATTAATTTTCAACTCATTTCAGTTTTTGATGTTTATGGACGAAACTGGCCATGAACCTTTCGGACGAACCAACAAGGAGCAAACAATTTGTCCATTAACTGCAGATGCATCCGCATCTCCTAGTTGTCCATCTTCACTGACATGTCAAGGTGTCCGTACAGGAAAACACACTGCTGTTTAATGAACATATGTTTTCTAAAGGTTTTCTCTATTCAAAGACTGTTCGATTGTTTGTTTTGCTATTTCCAGGCGTGTTTGTTTGGATTTCTGAGCGAATGTTGACAAGCATAATATATTATCTATCCGCATATATACTACACAAAAGAATTAAAGAACATCCGATTCTGTCTGAATTTAACATTCTGTGTTCCTTAACTTGTTTTGGGTAGTATATTATTCCCCTAACAACTTGTATACATACTGCCCAACTTTTGGTAGGGATGGTGATCCGTATAACTGCATGATGACAACGTATTGAACTGTTTACATTTACATTTGTTTATTTATCCTGAAATAGATTTATTATGCATCGGTTCCATGACAACATTGAATACTGACAACATAATCAAGCGATCAGTCAGTCAGGCCTCATCTGGACACATAGAATATCCCTGTCAAAATTTGAGAAACATTTGTCATCGTGTCAATTTAGAATGTTTTTGTTATAATTTGGGTATTAACGTTTATGTCCAGTCCATGATTAGAAGAGGTAAGTTCAAATATTATTATTAGACAACAGACATATCTTAATTAATCATCCGGTTTTAAAATGTATATAGCAACTGTGCATTTGACAAACACGTTTACGTGGGTAAAGAACCACCATTGCACTAGGGTACACTAACTACCATCCTCGATAATCTCCAGGGTATACGTTACGATAACTCTCCACTATACCCTGGATGCATCCCCGGCTTGGGGCGATGATTTTATTACCTCCCTTGGCTGGCTCCGCAATCTCACAGTAGCAAATCAGCTAAGCCGCCGTTACAACCGAGCTTCCAGTGTCAACAAAGATAGTGGTCGCAGTCGCGAAAGTTTGTTCGCAGTGCCACACAGATTTTTGGGAGAAAATAAAGACAAATTCACTGATGAAAGAACTCCTTCTACTTCTTTCAGAGTACCCCTGCATCAATTGTGTTACCAAGTTTAAACGGTTAGATACTTTGAGTAGCGAAAGTGAGTTGTGATTGGTTCACTCAACCCTAGCGTAGGCACCTGATTGGATAAAAAGCCAGCCAAGGGAGGTAATAAAATCATCGCCCCAAGCCGTGGATGCATCCAGGGTATAGTGGAGAGTTATCGTAGCGTATACCCTGGAGATTATCGAGGATGAGTAACTACACGTCATGGTCATATTGCTGAATCGGAGGTACAAACAAGTTCATCTTAGAAGCAGGTCTACCCACGTCTGTCTCACCTGACATCTAACAGTCTTATGTCATTTAATGTTGATTATTATAAACTTAATGTTGATTATTATAAATAAATTAAGTCTATACACTCTGTGTATACATGTATATGTTTTAAATACTCATTGCCTTGTTATAGATATATTCTTGTGGGTAAATACCTAAATGCATGTACGTATATGAGCGGAGTCACGGATGGCAGAGTAACATAAGGCGAGGTTGCATCCCTTGTACGTAAAATATTCCTGTAACCTAACATCCCCGTGATTGCTCGTCACGGGAAAGCGTCTATACAGTATAACTTGTGTTAGTGGTATTTGTTTGGTGTTTGTGCTCTACATAAGATATATGATGGCTGTATGTCAATAATCTGAGCCAGGGAATAACAAAATAAACGTTGATCTAAGCAACTGGGTTACGATGACATGCGGTACCAGTAGTATACATGTGTACTCTCATTACCTATACTACTCCAGGGGTCGGTGGGGTAGCCTAGTGGTTTAAGCGTTGGCTCGTCACGCCGAAGACCCGGGTTCGAATCCCCACATGGGTACAATGTGTGAAGCCCATTTCTGGTGTCCCCCGCCGTGATGTTGCTGGAATATTGCTAAAAGCGGCGTAAAACTAAACTCAGTCAGTCAGTATACTACTCCACCAAACTCTGGAATCTGACCAGTTGATCCCGTTAGTCGCATCTTACAAGAAGACTTGCTGGATGTCAGTTCTAACCCAGATATTCGTGGGGTCTCGGTGGTTAAATTACATTTGCATGACTACAAGTACATGCGTGTGGACACAAGTTTTAATTTTTATCCGCCATTTTTTTTCAAAAATGAACATGTACAAAATAGGCCGTTGTTTCATTCTGTGGGTTTTGTCTCTACAATCGAGACCCGTGAAGATCCGGGTTAGGATTCGTCTCCAGTAACCAATGCCTGTCGCAAGAGGCGACTAACGGAATCGGGTGGTCAGGCTAGCTAATTTGATTGACACGCCATCGTATCCCAATTGCATAGATCGATATTCATGATACTGATCACTGGATTGTCTGGTCCAGGCCCCATTATTTACAGACCGCCGCCATATAGCTGGAATATTTCTGAGTGCGGCGTTAAGCCTCTACATTCGACTGATATTCGTCAGAACATGAGTACACCGTGTGTGAAGACAAGAGTTGTTGTAGTCGGTTCTTCTGTGACCGGGCAGTGGGGATAGCCTTGTGGTTAAAGCGTTGGCTCGTCACGCCGAAGACCCGGGTTCGAATCCCCACATGGGTACAATGTGTGAAGCCCATTTCTTGTGTCCCCCCGCTGTGATGTTGCTGGAATATTGCTAAAAGCGGCGTAAAACCAAATACAGTCAGTCAGTCAGTCTTGTGTGACCTCGTCCGTGGTCTAATGGATAGAGTGTCTGCCCGGGGAGCGGAAGGTCGGTGGTTGGATCCACTGCCTCGTCTTACTGAAAGACGTTAAAAGGTGGTGCCTGGTTGGAGTTTGTATGCCGTGTCTGGGTCGAGTATTCATGCTTAACATGTAGCTCAGTGGGCGAGCACTTTAAAACCGGACTTACCCGGACTACTACGATACGCATACATGCACACACGCACGCACACACACACGCACGATGCACGTCGCTATGTAAGTGTAATAATCGTAACAATTACTTCTAGAATAGTTCGTGAAAACAAGCACTTAATAAGCGAACATGTCGTACAGTATTGAAGCACAGCAACCAGCATAGGGCACTATTAATGAATTACTGTCGAGCGCTTCAAGCAGTACTCATTTCGCACTAAGATATGATGTGAGCAATGCTGCTTTTGTTCATTTATAGACACGACATGCCCGCGCTACGAATGCCCAAACAACGTGACAACATTCAACTACCCCGACTGGCAGGATGCCACGTGCAAGTCATTCTTCAGCTGTGAGTTGGGCTCCTTACAGAGTCGTCAGTGTCCCGGGGAATACCTTATTCAGCTTTATGCTCCTGAGGTGCGTGCAACCAGGCCAGTTGGAATATCCGTGCTCGCTCAACCTGGTCGACTCACGAGTAGAGTTTGGGATATAATAACTTGAAGACGGAGCCCAGTCAGCTGGAGAGAACAGAAATTCTTCCTTCATTTGACGTTTTAAATGCTATAATTGTACACTATGATTTTACAAAATACGATTACGTTTTCCTCAGAAATATAGATGTCACAACCTTTCTGTTAATCTATGCGTTATCGTGTAAATGATTTGGTGATTTTACCCGTAAAAACCTAACACAGGCATGTTCTTAAATATTATCCGTTTCATCAAACGTTTAATATTTTCAGGTTTTTATTTTGGTAATACTATAATTTATATTTATTAAAGATGTTGAAACTATCACTGGACTCAATCATAATTATAGACAAGTTTTTGATGTATTTTTGTGATCATATTCTTTTATTCAAATCATATTCAAGATCACTGAAACGTGTTTTGTAAACGCCTGGAGTTAATGAATATAATATTTGGCTACAAGTATAAGATGTATGACATTCGACACATACTGCATATAACTTGTATTAAAAGTATTTCACTGACCGTTCTTCAAGAACAATTTGTAAATTAATGACACAGCTTCTTGTATACACCATTTGAATACTTGGTAACAATGCGAATAAACTTGATCTTCGGTGGGAATATGGCATGTATTTGTTTGAATATACGGATTCCTGGTTTGGACTCAGTATCAGATACAACAACGAGTCGGCCAGGAGGAATGTGTGTCTGGGGTTATACTATTCCCTGGTACCCCGATGTCTCTCATTATTGTGATGGTCACGACCTTGGTAACACGGGGTCCATGACGTACAGGGGTTATGCTATTCCCTGGTACCCCAATGTCTCTCATTATTGTGATGGTCACGACCTTGGTAACACGGGGTCCATGACGTACAGGGGTTATGCTATTCCCTGGTACCCCAATGTCTCTCATTATTGTCATGGTCACGACCTTGGTAACACGGGGTCCATGACGTACAGGGGTTATGCTATTCCCTGGTACCCCGATGTCTCTCATTATTGTGATGGTCACGACATTGGTAACACGGGGTCCATGACGTACAGGGGTTATGCTATTCCCTGGTACCCCAATGACTCTCATTATTGTGATGGTCACGACCTTGGTAACACGGGGTCCATGACGTACAAGGGTTATGCTATTCCCTGGTACCCGAATGTATCTCAGTGTGATGGTCACGACATTGGTAACACGGGGTCCATGACGTACAGAGGCTATGCTATTCCCTGGTACCCCAATGTCTCTCATTATTGTGATGGTCACGACATTGGTAACACGGGGTCCATGACGTACAGGGGTTATGCTATTCCCTGGTACCCCAATGTCTCTCATTATTGTGATGATCACGACCTTGGTAACCACGGGGCCATGACGTACAGGGGAGTAGTGTACCATGTCTCCCTGGGGTCTTTTTCAAGATGGCGGCACATCCGGTCACCGTGGGCGCCACCATCTTGGATCAAGATGGCGGTGACCGGATGTGCCGCCATCAGGGGGAGATCACTCGGGTTCTGGTTCCGGTGCTTCCGGTGTGTGCGTACGCATCGCGATGACGTCACGTCCGGTTCCGGTTGGTGCGCGCATGACGATGACGTCACCTCCGGGCCAAGATGGCGGATGCGTTTCAAGATGGCGTCCCATCCGGTGGGATCGCGTGAAATCTCGCGGGATCTCGTGGATTCTCGCGGGATCTCGCGAGCGTAGACGCCTTTCAAGATGGCGGAACGGACGAGCGGCGGACGGGAAGGAGAGGAAGGAAAGGAGAGGAAAGGAGAGGGGAAGGAGAGGGAGGGAGGGAGGGTGGTCGCCTTTCAAGAGGGGACGATGGCGTGGCTTGAGAAGTGTGTGTGTGGTTAAAGCTTTTGTCACTCAGGTTTTCTTTCGAGCAAGGTGGGTGGCCCTGAAAAGGGCCGTTGGTATGTGAAAAGGACAGGTTAACATTCACAGAGGAGATGGAGACCCCGAAAAATAAATTTTCCGGGGCACACATCATCGTGCTGCTGTTGCCCTCTCTTGATGATCCCTTCCCCACAGTAGAGGCATATGTAAAAGTCAGCTCCTGGGACGACATCAAAGCGATTCGAGGGATATGCTTTGAAACAGGTAGGACAGATAATCAGTCGCCATTTTGATGACCATGTTGGTAATGTTTTCGATGTGGCTGCCGTTGTTGTTGGTGGTGGTGGGGCTGCCGCTGCTTCTGTTGCCGTTGTTGGTACCGGTTTTGCAGGTGTTGTTGCTGCCTCTTCCATTTTGATATCAGTCTTCAATTGTAAGGTACGGCTGCACCGCAAGCATTGTCGTCTACCACAGTTTTTCCGGTAAGGCGCGGGTCGCATGACTTGCACTTTTCTTGTGTCCATGTTGCATCAAGATAGCCCTCACTGACCCATGCTGGAGTTTATATACAGGCGACGAGACAGCGATGACGTGGTATCGATGACGTCATGGTCGCGCGTGAAGGTGGTGACGTGGCACCGATGACGTCACCGTGTGGTGGTGGCGCCGCCATGGTCTTTGATTGGCTTAGCCCTCCTTTATATCATGAGCGGGGGTGGCCGAAGCAGTGTTACAATGGACAGGATGGAGAACTGGGACTTGGAATTAATGTCATTGGAGGCACCCTCGTCCTCGCCACCCTTACCGGCATGGCAGTGCCACCAATGCCATGGCTGCCTGCCCGTCTATGTCAACGGTAGCATCGAATATAACGGGACCTGTCAGTGCGTGTATGCGGTACTGTCTTGAAGGACACCTACATCCGTCGCCTCACTCATGGGAGCAAGTGCCCAGTGAAAACAATGATGGCCATCCAGGCGTGTCAGTGCAGGTGCCAGCTCTGGTCTCTTGAGTGAGGTACACTCTAAAAAACGGCCCTTTTCAGGGCCACCCATCTCTCTCAAAAGAAGCCTCATTTCACTGCCAACAATAACAACACTAGGTTGACATTTTTCAAACGTTTTATTTCCCCCAGCTAACAAGAACATTTTGACAAAAGAGGCAGGATTAGGGGCGTCCCTGATCTTTTGTTTACAAACGGTATGAACTGTAACATCAGAACATCATAACTGTAACATCAGGGCCCACTTGCACAGAACGATCTTAGCGCTACAATTATTGTAAATCCATAAGTTCGCGATCTTAGGCTTCGGCTACAATCGCCATCGACTTGCACAAAGCGATTGTAGGCTAAGATCGTTGTAAGTTATAATCGAAACTTACAATTGGTCCGGACCAATTGTAAGGAGCTAAGATCATTGTAGTCTGTGACAAAATGGTGTTCAAGTTTCACGCAAATAATCAGCTTTACGTTTGGAGATTGCTTTTATATTGCATAAAACTGTACTGTATGATTCGCCTCGACACTTCAACAACACGGAGAATGCACAACCGATTTAACGTCGGATACATTGTTATTTGCTGTAGTGAACCACAGAACTATCGAGTCGATATCACAAAGTACTATTCCCACCCGATTCAATGTTGGAATAAGTGTGAAACAACATACCTTTTTGATAATCAAGGAAGGATAGTAGCAAATGGTGTCCGCGTTCGATTAACAATGGCCGTGACCTTTTCATTAACTCAAAAGCAGATAATTTTAGTTTATGGGCAAGATGGGAGTGGTTTCCCCTGGCCTATGCCGTTGCCGTAGAGTCTGTCATGCCCAATCGCAGAGCTCAAGATATTTTCTTTTCGGTGATGGAGTGATTTTGTCTTAGTTAATCATTAAAGTAATCAAAAATTAGATACAAGTTAACGTGCAAAATCAAGATTCAATTTTAATTTCACTTTTAGAAAAATATTTATCAACGCAATAGGGTCATATCATTAATATACTGAGAATGAGTATTTAACAACTGCTCTCTCGATATAAACTCTGTCAAAAAAGAAACGCAACCCCTGTCCTCAGATATTAAAAATTCGTTTGAATAAAGTTATTGCTTCCAAACTAAATTTTATTCAAATGTATTGAAATTATACACGTATTTAATGAAGATTACCATCCAAACAACTGCATTTTCACGCATAAGTGTATTTTATTGCTTATTCCGTCACAACGCATGAAATGACCCTGGTGACTTCGCACAAAAAAACAAATGCACGTGCAAATCATGAAAATGGCAGTTAATGTAGGGGTGTATAAAAGCCCATGTGCTTTCGTATTTTATACATTCATTTGTCGCCAAAAAGCAGTGTTAAAAATGCCACGATTGAGTGCTGCCGACCGAAATATCGCCATTGGTCGTGTTCAAGCCGGAGAAAGTTTTGGAACTGTTGCACGGCACCTAAATGTTCACAAAACAACGATATCCCGACTTTGGAGCCGCTACAACAACTTCAATTCGACCAACGATCGCCCGAGAAGTGGAAGGCCAAGAATCACGACCCCCCTTCAAGATCGGTACATCCGGGTCCATCACCTGCGTAATCAGCATGCCCTACCAACCGTGACTACCACACAAATACCAGATTTGAGGAGAGTGTCAGCTCAAACGATTAGGAACCGTCTGAAAGAAGCGGGTTTACGTACCTGTAGACCAGTTGTTGGACCTGTACTACGCCCCCTACATCGACGACTCAGGTGGTGCAACAACGTAAGGATATGGATTTTACAAAACTGGAGGCGCATCTGTTTTTCTGAGGAATCACATTTTCTTTTGCAACTTCACGACGGAAGACAGCGTGTGTATAGGAGACGTCATGAACGTTTTGCGCCCATCTGCGTCCGTCAGGTGGACAGATTTGGCGGAGACAGCGTTATGGTTTGGGGAGCCATCTCATACAACCAGAAATCAGACTTGGTGATCGTTCCAGGGAACCTGACAGCCCAACGTTACATCAACCACGTGTTACAGCCTCACCTTCTCCCGATTATTGACCAACAAACACAGATTTTTGAACAGGACAACGCCCGGCCTCATACTGCACGTGCAACAATGAACTTTCTGCAGAATTCCAACGTCAATGTCTTGCCATGGTCCTCTAAATCACCAGACTTCAACCCTATTGAACACCTGTGGGATACTCTGGATCGACGCGTAAGTCAACGTCAGCCGCCGCAACAGACGCTGCAACAGCTCGCCGTTGCACTGCAGGAGGAGTGGAGAGCCATTCCCCAGGAGAGAATCCGGCGTCTTATCCGTTCTTGTCCAAGGAGATGCCGTGCAGTGATTCAGCTCGTGGTGCTCATACGAGATACTGAGAAAGACGCCCCCTGGTGACAAACTGGTGTCTGTGAGATGACTTTTGAAATGACAATTTTAAACATGACTATCTTGGTTATTATTCTGCCAAATTTCAGACTTCTGTCTTTAATAATAATAACAATGCTGTGTCGTCCTAAAACTTAAGATTGCAATCTCTAAAATACAGGGGTTGCGTTTCTTTTTTGACAGAGTTTATTATTTGATATTCGTATTTCCCTGTCATGAATTCTTTACAACACTTCTGTAGCCATATTACATTTTCTTGTTATATTGTGAGAAAACCAATACTTCTAGGGTATATTTAGGATTTTACACACATAAAAAGGAAAAAAAACAGCTGTGCATTAAACAAGGTCTCATTGACAACCAGTGGCAAATCATGCATTTGTGTGTTATATCATAAGTAAATA